GGAGGGGGGAGTGAGTGTGCACGCAGTGCGCACAGGCATACATGTGCAAAGCAGTTTTCTTTTTTTACAGTTGAATCATTTTTCTATGCCATGGTAGCTTTATGCATTGGATACAAACAGATTTTCAAAGCATATGTTCCTTGGTGTATAAAGGAGTTTTATCAGAAGACAGTAACAATTCGAAGTTCTCTTTCTACTCTGCTTTTGAAAGGCTAGAAATAACAAGTGTCAGTTGAGTAAAATTATCTTCTAAGTAACATCCCACTAATTTGAGATTTCACAGTGAAATAATCATACACTATACTAGGTCTCAAGAAGGCATGTTCTCATTAGAGGCAGAAAATGATTAAGAAACTTGTCACAGAGAGTTTTTGAGAATCCTATTAACTAATAAACCACTTTATATCTTCTGGAGGGGAGAAGTAAAGAGTAAAATCAAACAAGCAGAGTTCTCCTGTCTGGAAGGCTGCTGTTTGATCTCTCACCCTCAGAAGGGTACAGGTCCTATTTATAAGCACTAGCTCTTCATTGGGGGTGGCTGGTGAACTCTGCCTATAGGGTCCCACCCCCTCCTCACTGGGGGCCTTGCAGTCTGGGAGAAGGACCTTCCCTTGTACCTTCTCAGGGAGGGGTTTTGGCTGGTTTGGCTAGGTGGGTTCCTGGGGGCAGGGAGAAACACATCAATCACCTAGGGACCAGAAGAGCTGTTAACAAGCATTACTCATGTTTCTACAAGTCAATAAACATGTTTGGTGGGAAACTCTCCCAGTATTTTGTAGATTAACAGTCAAAAAGGCAATTCAGCCTAATTTAATGAAAACTTGTTGACCATCCACTAAGGACTGACTTACCTTTTAGGGCTGTGCACATAAGATGAATGGAGTAGAATTTTAACCCTCAGACAGCTTACTCCCTAGTAAAAAATGTGAAAGTTTGTAAGCAAATAACTGTAAGATAAGTAGGAAATGTCAGAAGAACCAGGGAGGTAGCAGACCTGAACAAAGTAAGCAGAACGTAAGAATAACAGGGTTCCAGAAATGGCACCATTCTTTATTTTTGCTAAGCTATAGCATGGGCATGTAATTTAATGTAAATGTATATATGATACCCATATTCTATTTATATTAAATATTTTTTAACTAACTGAAAAAGAAAAACAATGATTTCTGGGGTTTTTTTCCCCACAAATTCATTACTGCTTTGATGTGAAATCAGAAGCCTGACATTGATTTCTTCTGAACCAAAATATCAGTCAGGCTCCACGTATATTCACTGTGGTATACGGAATATAGCATTAAATACTTCAAGTGGGGGTGATAGGTAGGGGTTTTTTTTTATTCATTTTGGGATAAAGCTTCTCCTAAACGTAGGCTCTCCCAACACGGATCACATCTCTGTAAATGGTTCTTGCCAATAAGGTGATTCCTCCAAGATGTGTGTATAATTCCAGCTTTCAACATTATCATATTCAGTGTTTGGTACCATTTGGTACTACTGTGCAATAACTTTAAATCATAGTCCTTCATTTGTACTATCAAAAATTAGCTGGGGCACCTGGGTGGCTCGGTTGGTTAAGGGTTTCTCTATCTCAGCTCAAGTCTTGATCTCTAGATTGTGAGTTCAAGCCCCACACTGGGCTCCATGTTGGGCGTGGACCCTACTTAAAAAAATAAAAAGATAAAAATTAAGAAAGGTAAGCTAAATAATGCCAGTTTCTTTTCATTAAGTTTGAAATCCAGTATTCAATGGCCCTGTTTGGGAGAATGAATTTCAAACTATTATTTTCATTTCCGGAAACTGATTTCAACCTAAGAAAGTAGATGATGTTATTCCTAACCAAATGAATTTCCCAAAGACTCCAATTTTGCCAGGACTGAGAGAAGCAAATGAGACATTTGCACAAACAACTTGCAAATGCCCCATAGAAAAATATTCAAAAGGTCTAAGTGAACTGTAGTATCAGTAAGAAGCTTGCAACTTTGAGCCAATCTTTGCGGTTAAGTGGAGATAAGAGTATTTCCTCTCATGACATGAACAGTTAAAAGAAATCTCTGCAGTATCACAGCACAAGGAAGCCAGGAAATTTATCAACCAACACTGACCTGATTTTGCTCCAAGATACAGAAGAATAGCTAATTCGTGGTACTAATTACTTGTCCCATTTCAGCTTTTTAGCCCAAAGCGATTCCTAATGAGTGATGAAACTAATGGACTTAGGTATAATGCCCCTACCAAATACTGCTACCTCGGATTTGTGGCTTGACAAATCCAACATCGACCCTTATCCTCTGTTGAGAGCCTGGTGTGCAGTAACACTTGGAACTTGGAACAGTGCGTTCTACATCCCATGGTTTGAAAACTTGCTCAATGCAAAGTAAGCCATTTCCTGATGTTTTGCCTTTCAGGGACTCCTTGTCTAAAAGCTCTCTGACCCCTCCAAAATTCTGCCCCCATCACAAATAAATAGAGCTAATGGTCTGCAATTATTCACAGCCGTCTTCTCATTTGCTGCAACAGAAAGTGCCACCAATAATTTAACTTATCTTGAAAGTTCTCAACCGTATTTGTAACATGCTGAGCTACGATGTTTCTGGTTATGTTTCCGGTTACGCTAACGTTTGCAAATGCTTGTTTATGCTCTGGACACATAATTTCTGCTACATTCAAAAGAGACTCTTATAAAAAGCATTGTCTGTAAAAAGGTTTTGATGCCCGGGCAATTTTTTCTTTAACAGAGAACTACATTTCACAGGAGATCGCTTATTTTATTCTCATTCAAAAACAAACGCTACCATTTTTTTCAATCCATTAAGTTCTTCAACACCCATCTTTCCGGTACACCGGTCATGACTGGTTTTTTATGGTGCCTTAAGTTGTTATTTTTCTGTGCATGTTCTTTGTTTGAATAGCCTTCCCATCCAACTCCCCAAGCTCCCCAAAAAAGCACACTCCTATCTTTTTTTTGGGGGGGGGGTACTCATCTCTTTCTTAGGAGATACACAAACTCACCTTTTTCTTAACTTTACTGTTAAAAAAAAAAAAAAGGAAAAAACCCAGCAGTAACTAACAACTGCTATTTGATTCCAGTGTGGGATGCACAGGAAGGTATGTGGGCTTTCATGAACTAGGGAGCGTGAAACCCTTCCCCAGGGAGCACTGCCCCTCTGATTCAGGGCATGTCTGCCTTGGGGGGGACACCAGCCTTCTGTTGTCAAGAGAAGCTGGGAATCAGATACTTTAAAGAAAAATTTCCTAATTATTTAAATTATGTACCTTAGTCAAAATTTATTAAAATACCAAGAGGGTCAACATTGCTCTAGCCAGACAACACAAATCTGCAAGTGTGGGCTGCCCATCAGTAACTTCTGGAGATGTCAGTGGAACGGTAAAACAATTTGTATCCTACTTTTGTTATAGTTCCTGAGAACTAAGAAGAGAAAAGGTACAATTACATCAGCGTGTTTCTACGGAGTATGGAATCCAAATGCCGTAATTAATTTGGAAATATCCTAACGAGGCAGTGAGATGTAGTAAAAAGGATCGCCTTCTTGAAGCCAGGCCTGTTTGGGGAATCCTGGGTATTTCACTTACTAGTCTGGTTGACAGATTCTTCACCTGGAAGTGGGGATAACACAACTACCTTATAAGTTTGCTAAGTTGATTAGAGATAACTGCATAGACATTTCTTAGTGTACTGTCAGCATTTGTAAGGTGTTCATAAATGCTGACTATGACTGTTGCAAAACACGAAACATATGACTCCAAACACACTCCTCTGTATGTGCCACGAGCACCCGTTGTGCCCCGGCTCTCGCTCCTGTCCACCCCGCCCCCTCACCTCTGCATCATGTTGTCTTACTCTGCTTAGTGGCCCACCACAGCTTGTCAGCACGTGCTGACGTCTGTCACCCCACGCTGATCCCTGTCACCCTCTTACCTTGCTTGGGCTCCTATCCAGACCTGGAATGCCTGTTCTTTCCTTCATCATTCAGTTACCTCCTTTGCAACTCATCTCAAGTGTCACCTCTCCCAAGAAGTCTTTCTAGAGTACCATCACCCTCCAGTCTAGATAGAGCACTCTCTCCCTTACTGCCTTGTGTTTGCCTCAGTCTAGCTTTGTAGTATTGTAAACTGAGCTCCTGGAAAAGAACTAGGTCGATTACCTCACTGTCCCAAGCACCCGGGAGTAATGCCTTTGCCCAGCATATAATCAGGGCTAAAAACAAAAAAAATGGATCAACTTGGGAATGAATGATGGTGGTGACCATAGAATGGCATGGCAAGTACCAGTGTCTGCTTCCCTGCTGCTTCACAAATGCAAATAATTGGCTGTTGTTTATGCCTCTCTCCCCATCTTCCCAATCCTCATTCCAGCTCTTGCATCCACTCCCAAACCAACAGAGATTTCCATTCCAGAGGAGCGGGTTATAACAGAAAAGGTGCTTCATTGTCACTTACAGGGGGTGAAAGTGGGGACTGGATGGACATCTGAGAGGATTCCTTTTGAAAGGTCATAGGGAATACAAAACAGAGTCCCTCGTTGGAGATGAAGAAAGGAAGAGCCCTTCTTTAACACAAGGTCTTACCTTCGTTTTCAGAAATGGTGGCTTCATGTACCTTTTCCCTTGTACCTTCAGAATGAGTGGCTTCAGGAAAATTGCCTGTGCAGCCAAAACAGGCTTGGTAGCGCTGTACTCTTGCACTATCATTCATGGTCCTCTATCAGAAGGAAAAGCATTTTGTAGGCCAGGGCTGCCATTAGCATATAAGAGGTCTTGGAGTGCAAACAGGCATCCCTTCCTGCAGAGGGATGCAGACTCCTACGGCAGTATTTCCTGAGGGGAGGCGAAAGGCTGAACTTCATCCAGACACTCCCCTTATCTGGATACCTTTGGGAACAGCCTACTGAAGTAGCCCTGTAAGAAAAAGTGCTTCCTCTCATTGTGCATAATATTAGAAAAATGATTATAAATAATGTGCAAATATTTATTCTTTTCTAGGAACATGGGTGACATTTGGAGGTCAAATTTCAGATGAGGTAAGTTACCTTGGCTTCCATTTTGGTGATTGAAGAAAATGTAAAGCTGTGTAGTGGAAGTATTCTTGGGGTCCTGGCATTTTATAAGGATAATGTTTTAATCACAGGAAATGGTTAAGATTGAATCAAAGATTATTTTCAGTTCGATCCTGCTTCTTGAATTTTTCACATTCAGACTATTAATAGCCCTTGAGGCTGTCAATCTATTATCTGTGCAGGCCCAATTGTTAGAGAACAAACCAATCTGGCACTAATATTTAGTCGCTTTATGAGAAGATTTCATTGTGTGTGTGTGTGTGTGTGTGTGTGTGTGTGTGTTTTAGCTCCACCTGGGGTGACCAACTGATCAGTTGCAGGGACTTTTCCTTTTTAGCATGGGATTTCACCTCAGCTTGAGCAAGCAGATCCAACCTCTCTGAGCCTCAGTCCCTCTGATGTGAAATGGGATGATAAAGTTTAACTGTGGAGATCTGTTGAAAGGATGAACCATGCTATACATATGAAATGTTTATATAACCCTTGACTGGTAGGAAGCAGACACCCAATAATGGCAGCTGTAAGAATTTATTTACCATAAAAGTTCTCTAAGTCTCTGTTTATACATTCAAAACAGTGCTTACCAAAGTGATATTCTTATCATTGACTTTAAGGAATATCGTCATGGCATAAGTAAGTCATGCAGGCATTGAGCATCAATAACTCCCCAGTGACAATGTCCTCAAGTCCCTCTGATCCTTCTCTATCTTCCTGCAACACCACTGAGGAATCTGTGATATAATGTCTGAGCAGATACACTCAGTGGGATGCAGCCCATTCTGCCACTGGATTTACTAACATTTACTAACAGTTGCCACATCAGTGAAACGCAGGTGATAGCCCCTACTCAGCAGGATCACGAGTCAGATTAATGAGATGATGCCTACGAAGTGCTCAGCTTGGTGCCTGGCCCAGAACAAGCCCTTTATAAAGGTAGTTCTTACTATCATTCCTAGGGAGAAGCTTGCGGGAACAGAGGGTCTTTTCCACAGCTCCCAAAGTCACCAGTGTTATTTACTAGATCCTGGGGGTAGGCGTCTTATCCACACATTCTCCGTCTGAATGCCTGCCCCCATAGTGGGCATAGGTCACCATAGAGTTTGTCACATGGGGGATCCCTTGGAAAGTAGATCACACTGGAGGTTAGCACACAGAACAGTTATTAGAAAGTCAGGCCATGCTGCAGTCTTGGCCATGACCACGGCTGACCCCATGGAGAGCTCCAGAGCTGAGCTGGCCGTGTAGAGTGTCCCAGATTGGGGCAAGAGGACTGGGTATTTATATCCTCTGTGTGACCGGTCATTGGAGAGAGTCTGCCCTGGGAAGCAGGTCTCGCCTTGGCCTAGGCACTGCCTTTAGTCAACAGCAATTTCCAGCAGGAACTGACAGCTGCGGGCCATCTGATGGCAGCCTTCCCAGCAGTCCAGAGAGTGAGTCCTCCGGTTCTGAAGGAACATCTGGGCTGGTCATCACAGGGCCCTCAGACTGGCATCAGGTAGCGTGTATGGAGAGGCACAGAGGCAAGTCCACAAACAGCAAAACCGTGGCCACAGACGTAGGTCAGACACAAAGTAGGTGACAGGGAGCGGGATCTAAAATCAAGAACCCACTGTGTCCAGCAAGCGCACAACCTTCTACTGCCTGTTTCGCTCGCTGCAGGAGAAAAAGACGAAAATACCTTTGCTTTAGGCGCAGAGGGGCCAGCTGTTAAGGGCACCACCTCCCCTTGCATGTCTGCTCTCCTCTCCGCCGTCTCCACTCTCCGCTGCAATGAGCCCAGCTTGCCCGGGGCCGAGTGTGCAAGGCTGGCCTTTGAAACCCCTCATTTGACCATTACAATTCCAAAAGCCGCACGGTAAGGCTGTCACCAAATAGCTGCTGTCCTTCTAAAGAACAGCTGTGACCTCCCCCCCGCCCCCCCGTCCCCGGGGAGGGAGGAGGGGGTCCTGCAGAGAGAAGCGCAGCGATGAGAAGGCCGGGGAGGCCCAGGGGAGACCGCAGCCCCGCCAGCAGCTCAATCACCTGGAGCGCAAGCATTTCCGCGAGGGAAAAAACGCAGGCCAATCGCGACGAAATCACCTTCCCAGGTCTTCGGCCTTCCCTCTGCCTCCGACGGGCTCAGCACACAGCAGGTGCAAACTGTGAATCCCGGCATGACCGGGCTGTGACTGCCTCGGGGGCTGGCGGTGCCCCCATTACGGGGCGAAGTCGGCCATGCATCCAACAGCGAAGGGCCCAAATACCACCCTAGGCCCTGCCGTGAGGCGCCTCCCGTGGGATGATCCGGCCTCATCCCAAGACCAAGAAGAGAGCTGTCACTCGTGTCCTATTTCTTGACTGTGGTCAAGTGCAGAAAGGTCGCCATCTTCCAGCACTTGGTCTTCAGAGTTTTACTTCCGTTTTCTTACCTAGTAGGATAGTCACGGTGCTCTGGACCGCACGCCACAGTACACGCGGGCCAAGCTGGCCTGACCCGCACCGGGAAAGTCACCTTGGTCTTCCCGCGCGAAGTGGAGCCGGAGAGCCGGCCCCCGGGTGGACTCCGTCCGCGGCCCACCGCGCTCCCAGGGCTCCCGCGGCCCCGTGCTCCTTCCACAGCGACCTTATCCCGGGGCGGGGGCGCAGGGGGAGCCACACGGAGGCGCCAGCCTTGCTCAGGACACCAACCCCGGGGACGCCTGCCACGTCTCGAGCAGCTCTGTGAGAAGAACGAGGACACGTGCTCCCAGAAGCCTCAGCGAGTCCGTCCTCGCATCTCATTGGCCCAGAGGTGTCACCTGACCTCCCGCCAACCCCCCGCTACTTCCGCCTGCCCCGCCCGGATGTCAGCGGGAACTTCCGCTTCCGCCGAGGCCTGTGGTGGGGGCCTGAGCCGGGTCGTCTTCATTTTTGAGGATGAAAAAGCGAAAATAGCGGAGCGGTCGGGGAACCTCGCCCGAGTTGCGTTGTCCTGTAAGCCGTGCGGTACGCCCGAGGCCCGAAAACAGGCCTCCTGGGTCAGCGGCCGCGCTTCCGCATTGGGGCCTCGACCTCTCACGGTTGAGGCACGTGGCAGCCGTCGCGTAGGCCGACTCCACCCAGGCTTCTCCGGCCTACCCTTCGGTTCCTCTGCGGGCAACCGGACGCACGTTCCCCGGTAACGATCCCCTCGTATGTGATGCGACCAAGCGCACGGAGAACACGCCGCGCGAGCCCAGTAATTTCTGAAACGTGGAGCGGTCGTGATGGGAAAGACACTACGCCTGTCTTAACTTCTAATTTCTACTTGGGGTGAACGTCGTCATGGTAGCCAGTAATTGCATGGAATTATGCGTAAAAGCAGCAGTTGCATTCTGAGGGCCAGTATTCCGCAGGATGAGCGTGGACTCCCCTCTGGCTAGCCTACTAATTTTCTCGATTCGCCGATTTTAAAAACAACAGGGGAAGAGTTTGTCTTGGAAACGCTGCTGATGAAGCGACGGTAGCGCACACTCAGAAACGAAATGGGAAAATCGATTTTAATTATTCCTGAGCTGTATTAATTTTCAGTTAGCCAAGAAGTCCATCAGCCAAATGAGAAAATGTCGTCTCCCCCGCTGTTTATCGCCGTCCCTCTCTGGCTGGCCCTCGGGCTGCTGCTTCTGGCCGTGGTGGTGCTCCTGGCACCCTTGCATCCGGCAGCACAAAGGAAGTTAAGGGGGAGCATGGGGATGTATTTGCAAGCGGAGCAGTGGGGAGCCGGATGCCCCTGAGCCAGCTCACTGCTGCCTCTCTACCCTCCAGCTGGCAGGTGGCCCTGTGATGGTGGCTGGGGTTTCGTGGGCCCACGGGAGGCATGAATTTTACAGCAGTTATGGCTCCGACTCATCTCTGGCTCATCAGCACAGCCCACGAAGCCTGGAGGAAAAGAGGCACAGGCTTTTAGGTCAGGAGTCACCCAGCTGCCAGAACCTATTGGCTTAGAGACAGGAGGAAAAGAGAAATGGAGTCGCCAGTGGTACAGCTGATTCCCCCTCGTCAGAGAGATTAGGATGCTGTGGAGAAGGTCATCAAACCAGATCTTCCAAGCAGCGTGAGAAGTGAGGCTCTATCCACCTCACCTCTCCATGCTCCCGAGGGCTGACCTAGCCCAGCGTTGAAGGAAATCCCTCCGTGCCTAGTCGACGTCCGAGGGAAAGGAAACAGTGCTGCCACATATGTCCGGTTGAATCTTCTTTTGTTTTGTTCTGCGATACAGCTGAGAACAACAAGGAGCGGTTATAGCGAGTCTCCCCCAGTGTTCTGAGAGATTACCGGAGACAAAGTTGCTTGCTCGGGTGGGAAAACATTGGGCTTTTCTGCTCACCTCCACGTCCTCTTGCAGGTTGCTGAACGGCTGATGACAATTGCCTACGAAAGTGGAGTGAATCTCTTTGACACTGCTGAAGTCTATGCTGCTGGAAAGTAAGTCGGTGCCTGTTTGCGTCCCCTCAAGTGGCATTTTTGGTACCAACAGTCTGCCCAGATGTTTGCTGAGAAGGTGGTGAGAAGGGTGTGCCCTTCCCACACGCTTTGAGAGTGTGGTTTTCTGCTGTTCTCTATCCCCCATCTTCAGAGCTGGGGCTATTGACCACCTCTGGTCCTCTCTGTCCACCCAGACCTTCTTGCCCCTGGCCCCTGTGTGAAGAATGGCCGAGAACAGTGGCCATGGGTTGGGATACCCGAGGGGCAGAGGTGGCTGGGACCAGCGTGGTGGCAGTGGAGGTCTGGAAACGTGAGTTGGCTATAGGAGTGAGGAAGTAAACGAGCAGATTCCAGTGTGGTCATTCACAAGCTCATCCTGTTATTTTATAACCACATCTCATAGCTCCTCACCCCCTGAGGGAACCTGGAGGGTCCTCTATACAGGGAACCAGGGGCTGCTTTTCCTATTGGCAGGCCCATCCCTCAACCTAGCAGGACAAGTAGGCCAGACATTTAAAACAGGGGGTCCTCAAAGATGCCAAGAAATTCAGTCTGTTTCATAGGAGGGCATTTCAGACCCCCTTCAGAGGACAGGGAGGGCTGAGAGAGGGCTGTAAGAGGACCTTGCTGCTTCTGCTAGAGAAGTCACACCAGCTTCAACCTTCCTGTGCTCTACTGAGGGCAGGTTTGGAGCCCTAAGACAGGAGGACTCACTGCTCGGTCAGACCATGTGGGCAGTGTGCCCTTGGGGAGGCCTCAAGGCCCATGACCCCCATGCCCTGGCATGACAAACACATCTCAGAAGAGAACTGGAGCACCTAGGCCACCTGTCGTCCACACGGACAGACTGCCTGACAGGCCCGTCTCTAGGACTCTGGTGAACAGTGTGCTAAGTCCGTGGATCTCCACATTCCCAAAGCCTCGGAGGGCCCAGCCGCTTCTCACAACATTGGTCTGACTGGGAGGGATCTACAAGAAAGTTTTAGTCTCCTTGACTTTGGGTCCAGGTAGGAAGAGGGGAGAAGAGAGTGGAGGTGTCTTCAGTACATGTCTCCACCACCAACCCCTGGCAGCAGGGGAGGGATGGGGGAAGAATGCTTGTCTACATCTCCCTCCAGCTTGCATCTGGGTCAGCCCTCGTCCTAGAACCCAGGACGTTCTCTACGTGGGCCGCTGCATCCGCACCCTAGCCTTTGGGACATCTAAACCCTCACATGGTTTGTTTTGTTTGAGGTTTTTTCATACTGTAAGATCACCCAGGAGTCAGTATCTTCTGTCTAAATGGTGCAAAGTCCCATCGTCTTCCCTGGTCGAAATGGAAGACCACAGTAATCAGAAGGGAAACCTTGACTCCCATTGGACTCCACCAGGCAGGATATTTATATATGGGATCAGTGGTTCAAAAACACCAAACTGCCAAATGACTCTGTTGTTTCTTAGTATCAGGACCACAGGTGGTCTCCTGCCAGCATGTCAGGGTTTGGCAGGTGCTTCTGGAATGCTCCAGGAGCAGGATTCTGCAGGCACAAGCAGAAACAGCGGAAACTGTGCTACTAGCCGAGAGCAGCTTCTATTTTCAGGACACGTAGGCACTGAGAGTTCAAACAAGGAATGGCTCTCGTGGTTTTGGATTGACTCTTGCGTTTCCAGGACACCATATCCTAAGCCATTATCTGTTTCCCTTCCAGGGCTGAAGTGATTCTGGGGAGCATCATCAAGAAGAAAGGCTGGAGGTAATGCATTTATTCATCCTAATCACATACTTGCCTTTAAAAGCCTGTTATTATTTTGTACCAGAGAAGGGAAAATAAAATTGCATGACAGCTGAACAAAAGGCTGTCAAAAAAAAAAAAGTCGATTCTTGGTTAAAGAGATGATTTATAGTTGTTTGAAAATAAATACTAACAAGTTCATTACTTGTACTTCAAAAAGTATCGACTAGTCATTGATCGCAGTGAATTACCGTGGGGTTGAGAGGGAGGAGATGTTCATGAGCTAGTCGTGCATAAAAGAAAGTGGCATTTTCAGGGTTTCTTGGTGCTGTTTGTGGCGCTTTGGTGAAAGCAGGCCGCTGATAGGAAGCTGTCTATACACGTGTGTGTACGTGCACTGTTCATTTCACTGACAATGCCAGGTGCAAAGAAATGATGAAGAAAGAAGTCCTTGTGACAGGTGCCCCAAAGCTCTCCTATGTGAACACAATTAGCAGCACCTCTGCCATGTGCCAGGAGCCCTATTTTCTGGGCATTCCAGAAAGTGCTTCATCTGCTGTCCTTGAGGGGCTCACATCCCATTCCTTCAGGGGCTGGAGCCAAAGCCAGTGGCAACCTCATCTGGGGGGCGTGGGGAGGCAGCCCCCGCCATTTCACTATGCGTATCAACCACCACAGTCGCTTCCTCCCCAACATGAGTACAGAAGCAAACAAAGCTCGCGGGGCAGGTGTGGGGCCCTCTAGCTCTCCGGTGGAAGATCTGCTGTTGGCCAAATAAACAACTCTGTGGTATTGGTGGAAACGGAAATCCAGAAACTTGTGGAGATATGACCAAATAAGGATTGGTGACCCACTTTCTCCCTCTCCCTGCTCCTCCACCTCCACTCCAGGGATTGTAAGGATATAAGGAGAAAAGTATATTCAACCTTAAATATGGAAAAATATTCACATCCCCGCCCCGTCCTCCACCTTGCCGGAGCTCTGTTCCCACTCAGAAGGCTGGCCCATCCATCACCGCCCCAGTAGGGATGGCACCACTTTCTTAGGGCTCCTGGAACCAAGTGCTGCAAGCTACTTGGCTTGAGACCATAGAAATGTGTTCCCTCCCAGCTCTGGAGGCCACAAGTACAAAACCAAGGTTTGGGCAGAGCCGTGCTGCCTCAGAAACTCTGAGTAGAATCCTCCCTTGCCTCTTCCCAGCCTTTGGTTCTTGCTGGCCATCCTGGGCATTTCTCAGCATGTAGCTACACTCAATCTCTGCCTCTGCCATCAGATGGCATTCTTCCCTCGTGTGTCTGTGTCTTCTTAAAAGGACGCTGGTCATGTTGGATTAAGGACTCACCCCACTCCAGTATGACCCCATCTTAATTAATTGCATCTCTAATGAGCTTATTTCCAAATAAGCTCACATTCTGAGGCACTGGAGGTTAGGTCTTTAACATGTCTTTGTAGGGGACACAATTCAGCCCATAACAGAGACCCTGGGGATGAGTCCCCCAGCAGCCCAGTGAACTGTGCAGCAAGGTGTAGGCTGACAGGACACCGGAGGTAGGAGAGGAGCGTCACTGCGGGTGCCATTTCCCCCTGACACCCAGAGAACATCTAACCATCACTTTCCATGGTTTGCAGAGCATACACCTACCAGAAAACAGATTTACATACATCTTTTACAAACTGCCTTTCAGTCTTAGGAATGAAAACCCAAGCTGTCCCCATGCTACAGGATATTGATGTCAGTGCACAGCTGCCCCTACAAGACTGCTAAACAGATACACCACAGCATGGAGTCAAGTCTCTACAAGGAATTGCCACTAGCATACCTGGCTTCTGGTCCCAGGACTGCCGTTTGCCTGCTGTGCTTTTCGGGCCAAGTTATCTCACTTCTCTGAATCTCCATTTCCCCACCTGTAAAATGGATGGCATAATTGCTCACCAAGTGTCATGCTGATAAAGTGAGATAAGGTGTGCAGAAGTGTTTTGAAAGCTGTGCTGTATCCCTGTAAGATACTCATGTTCTCATTCTCCACCCACTCAGAGGAGTTGCTGAAAATGCCTCCATCACAGTCCTTGATAATTGGCCAGGTTGCTGGCTACTCCTGCTATTTGAACATACACGTTAGTGTGCACATGCATGTAGCCCACACATCTCACAAAAAGCCCAACTTTGCAAATACAAGTCTATATGGATAGGATCTGCAGCTTTGGAAGGCCCAGCTGCTCTGAATCATCCAGAGGACTACATTCATTTTTTATGATATTCCATCCGGCCTTTTGTTGAAGCTGTGAAAATGTTTGCTAAAGGAGACCTGGCTCCCCTGTGGCAGATTGCTGTTACACAGGGTATCGTGAGGTTGATGGATTAACCTGGAAAGTGCATCAGCCCTTCCTCAGTGTGTAATCTCCAGATGCACATATCGGTAGAGCTTCCATTACAGTGATTCAAATTACTTTTCGGGGAATTAACTTCAGCGGGTTGGGATTGCTGACATTTTCTACAAATTTTTCTTGTTGCAGCTAAGCTGTCAGAATTGTCACCCTTGTTCCCCATTGGTTATCATTAATCTTGTGAGGCTCTTATACCTGCGTGCCCCGAGGCTTCGGCTCTACAGCTGATGGAATTAGAAATGCCTTATTTCAAATACTCCCAAAGTTTGGTCTTCACCTTTGAATCCCAAATGATTTTTTTCCCCTAGACTAGTTCAATTGAATTACATACCTGGAGAAACCAAATTATACTGATATCTGCCTCTTGATCATAAATTCTGTGACTGTAGCTCTCAAGACATGTTTCCTCTTCCACCATCATCATCATACGATTGCCATTTCCTGCCCTTCCTTGGGTGTGGTTTGGAGAAGACAATAAATTTGCTGACAAGATTTCCACATTTCATTCCCTTAGGAGTTAAGTGGTTAAAACCATGACTTAAAAATTTTAGGCCTGTTTTCCTACAATAACATTTCAATTTAATAAAACACTCAAATTTTGCTTCTGTTCACTGACTACTGTACTTTATCATCCCTATTTCCCTGCAGTCAGTTACTGCCTGTGAAAGTCACACGGTTGGAAAGCCACTCGGGCCCATGGTCCTTGGCAGAAAGCTCACACTCAATGAACGTTATGTCAGATGCTAAATAAGTGTTAGTGGGTGCTTTAAATCCACTCACTGACCCTCTCATTTACCATTCCTGCCTCCCCTGCCTACCCCTCACTCTCTTCGCCACACCCCCCAATCAGCCCTCCACCGCCCCTTCCAGGGAAAGGTCACTCCCCTTCAGCCTCTTCATCTAGGATCAGATTTCCTGTCCCTCCTCACCAGCTTCCCTTTGCCCCAATATTTCAGTGACACGAATTAACAAATGTATCTTTTTACCAGTTTTTTTTTAAATAGGCACGATAAATTATTTCTGATGCTATACTAATATGACTCACTATAATAACTATTTATTTAATATTTCTCTATGTTTGTCTAACATACAGGAGGTCCAGCCTGGTCATAACAACCAAACTCTACTGGGGTGGAAAGTAAGTTAAATACCTTTTCTTTTCCCTACTTGACAGGAAGCAACTACTAGTTCATGCTTTTATCCTTTTGGGCAACCATTTTATGTCTAGTGTACTAAAATTAATTGGTTTGAGGAGAAAGATTATTTTTTTCAGCCTTGAAGGAAATAGCAGTTACCCTAGGATTCAATTTTAGCAAGATGCCCCAAATAAATTAGTGTAAAGCGTGTGGTCACTTGTCACTAAGCAATTCATGGAGATTTTCAAAGGCCAACCTCATACTTAGAACCATTTCCAAAATAGAGTTCAAATTTTGGGAAAAGAAAATAAGCATATAGCATCACAGAAGAAAAGCTGTCCGAATCTGCCAAAACTCAGAGACTTCTATGGAATGCAAAGATAAAAATATCTTGTCTGGCCCCACATGTGAGTATCCGATGGTTTCTGCAGAAGGTGTTGAAAATGTTGGTCAAAAGGACCGCCTTTTGAAGAATAACAGGAAGCTACCATAGCACTCACTGGCAGGCAAATGAAAGAGGCCCTTTGTCTGTTGTGGGATGCAAACAAATTTCACAAGACAAATTGGCCTCTTTTGAGCCTACTGGTGTTTGAACTGGTACTCACATGATTCAGTACAACTTGGAAGTCCAGCTAGCTATTCCACATACCTTTTCACGGAAATCATAAATATTTCCATGGAGTCTTAACCAAAACAAATAACAAAAATACAGAAAAAAACCCACAAACAAAACCTTATTTACCTCCCTATAATTGAGAGGGCATAGTTAAAAATAAAATTGGAGACAGAAGACATTGCCTTGGGAATCTTCTAATCAAAATGTATCCACACACGCACACTCATGTTTTATTGCTATTTTGAACCTATTTATGGTGACGATGAAGACAGAAAGAATCTAGATTTTTATTCTTACCAACAGCTATATAAAAATCAAGCAACATGGTGCCTGTGAGAAATGTAGATTTACGTCATCTGTGCTCTGATTCATGGTGCTTCTGCAATGGTACTTAAAGCTTTGCCTATACATTTGAAATAAACAGGGAAGAAGACACTCTGCAAGAAGCGCTATGTTGCTGAGTACTGCCTACAGTACTATCTTTTTTTTTTTTTAAGATTTTATTTATTTATTCATGAGAGAGAGAGAGGCAGAGACACAGGCAGAGGGAGAAACAGGCTCCCTGCAGGGAGCCCAATGTGGGATTCGGTCCCTGGACTCCAGGATCACGCCCTGGGCCGCAGGCAGGCACTCAACCACTGAGCCACCCAAGTGTTCCTACACACAGTACTATCTAATGTTTTTATAAAAGATTCAAAATCCCCAAAGGCAAATGGTAAACAACTGTGTTTTAAAATGAGGTTGCCACAGGTAGTGATGTTGAAGAAACACTTCATCAATACTTTAAAACTCAAGGACCATATTTCCTTCTAACTGCAGAGCTTGAGGATGGCCAGTGAACACAAAAGTCCTAGTTAAGTGTTTGTCTTCTTAGGATACTGATGTATGAAAGACTCCTATCACATTTTAACAGAAAGTAATTGTGAAATTTCTTTTGCAAGTCAAAAGGCACTTCCAAATGTGCTTCCTTTCTCAGAAAAGCCAGTGTTCTCAGCAGCTCACAAACTTATGTCAAGGCTTTTTTGGGGGTTGCGGGGGTAGCGGTGCTTGGGATTAGTTAAGAGCAAGGTGGAAATGTTGAGCCATGTGTCACAGTTTGTACGGACAGGGTGTGTATGGCTGAGTTATTATTGATACTGTGTGATGAGAATCATGGTTAATTCATCACCTGGGGTCTCCAAAGACAAGGGGCTCAGTGCATTGTTCACCAGCCTTCTCTCCTCAACCTGTGGTATAGAATTTGCCAAGAACGGGGTATAAAATTAGCAATTTAATCTAAAATGATTATTCCTCTGTACTTTTGAAACAGCAATTTTTTTAAAAACACATCCCCACTCAAAGTCATTTGCTTCTTTTTCTTGTTAGAGCTGAAACGGAAAGAGGGTTGTCAAGAAAACATATTATTGAAGGTAGGTACAGTGCTTCCATTTTATCTTCATCTGTGGGCTGCTGATACAAGAAAGATATCAACCAAATAGGTTCAAAACCCATTGGGAGGGGGAAAATTCTCTATAAAAAGAATCACGATCAACCACAGTCTTTGAGTTTTAGTGTAGGCATGTGGTGATATAGAGAAGACAATTGGAAATGCAAAAGAAAAAGGACAAATTTTCTAAAACTCTTCTCACAGCTATGCTAATATTAATAAAACACTCCCGTAAGACATTTTAAAAAGAGCTTTATTGAGATATAATTTGTATACCATAAGTTTACCAACTTAAAGTGCACAGTTCATTGGTTCTGCAGAGTTGTGCAGGCATCATCATAAATTCAATTTTAAGACACTTCCACCCATCCAAAAAGAAACCTAGTACCCACTAGCAGTCACTTCCCACCTTCTCCCTACCTTCTTCCACAGCCCCAGGCAACCACTAATCTACGTTTGTCTCTATAAATTGGCTAATTCTGGATATTTTATGTGAATGAGATCGTACAATATGTAATACTTTGTGACTGGCTTTTGTCACTTAGCGTGATGTTCATCCATGTTGTGATACGTATCAATACTTCATTCCTTTTACGGCCAAATACAGTTCCATTGTATGAATAGACCACATCTTGTTTGTTCATTCATCAGGTAATGTACACTTGGGTTGCTTTCATTTTTTGACTTATGAATAATACTGCTGTGAATATGTGTGTACAAGTTTTTGTGTGGACATATGCTAAAACTTAAGTTTTATTTTAAATTTGTTTTTTTTTAAATTCCAATACAATTAATATTAGTTTCAGATGTACAGTATAGCGATTCAGCAATTCCATGCATTACTCAGAACTTGTCACAATAAGTGTGCTCTTAATCCCCTTCACATGTTTCATCTACACCCCCCCCACCTACCTCTCATTTGGTAACCACCAGTTTGTTCTCTATATTTAAGAGTCTGTTTTTTGATTTGTCTCTTTTTTTCTTTGTTCGTTTTATTCCTTAAGTTCCACATGTAAGTGAAATCATGTCTTTCTCTGACCTTATTTCACGTAGTGTTATACCCTCCAGATCCATCTATGTTGTTGCAAAGGGTGAGACTGATTTTTTTTATAGCTGAGTCATATTCCATTATATATGTATGTATCACCTCTTCGTAATCCACTCATCTGTGGAGAAACACTGCATTGCTTCCATATGCTGGCTATTGTAAATAATGCTGCAATAAACATAGGGGTGCATATTATCTTTTTGAATTAGTGTTTCTGTGTTCCTTGGGTAAATACCCAGGAGTAGAATTACGAGATCACATGGTAATTCTATTTTTAATTTTTCAAGGAACCCCCATATGTTTTTTCTTCCACAGTAGCTCCACAAGTTTATATTCCCACCAACAGTGCAAAAGTGTTCCTTTCGCTCCACGTCCACATGAACAATTGATTTTCCTTGCATTTTTTATTTTAGCCATTCTGATGGGTGTGAGGTGATATCTTATTGTGGCTTTGATTTGCATTTCCTTGATGATCAATGATGTTAAACATCTTTTCATGTATCTGTTGGCCATCTGCATATATTCTTTGGAAAAATATTTGTTCCAAAATAACTAAAAAATTTTGAGTTTATTTTTTTGTATGGTGTAATAAATACAATTTTATTCCTTCACATGTAGCTGTCCAATTTCCCCAAAACCATTTTTTTTAACCCAAAACCATTTTTTGAAGAGACTGCCTTTTCCTCATGGTATATTCTTGCTTCCTTTGTTATAGATTAATTGACCATATAATCTTGGGTTTCTTTTTGGGCCATTTTGTTCCATTAATCTGTGTGTTTGTTTCTGTGCCAGTACCATACTGTTTTGAATTACTACAACTTTGTAGTATATTTTGAAATCTGGGATTGTGATAATTACAGCTTTGTCCTTTTTCAAGATTGCTTTGGTATTAAGGATCTTTTGTGGGTCCATACAAGTTTTAGGATTATTCTAGTTCTGTGAAAAATGCTGTTGATATTTTGATAGGAATTGCATTAAATCTATAGATTGCTTTGGGTAGTATGGATGTTTTGACAAAATTTTTCCTGGTCAGTGAGCATGGAATATCTTTACATTGTGTCGCCTTCAATTTTTTTCATCAGTGTTTTAAGGTTTTCAGAGTACAGGTCTTTCACCTCAGTTAAATTGATTCCTAGGTACTTTATTATTTTCAGTGCATTTGTAAATGGGATAGTTTTCTTAATTTCTCTTTTTGCTACTTTATCATTGTATAAAAATGCAACTGATTTCTGTATATTAATTTTTTATCCTATAACTTTATTGAATTCATTTTTCAATTCTAGTAGTTTTTGGTGGAGTCTTTAGGATTTTCTACATATAGTATTGTGTTGTCTGCAGATTTTACTTCTTCCTTACCAATTCAGATGCCTTTTATTCCTTTTTTTTATCTGAGTGTCATAGCTGGGATTTCCAGTACTGTGTTGAATAAAAGTGCTAAGAATGAACATCCTTGTCCCTGAGCTTAGGAGAAAAACTCTGTTTTTCACCACTGGGTAGAATATTAGTGGTGGGTTTTTCCTATATGGCCTTTATTATGTTGAGATATGTTCCCTCTAAATGTACTTTGTTGAGAGTTTTTATCATGAGTGGATGTTGTACTTTGTCAAATGCTTTTCCTTCATCTATTGACACGATCATACAGTTTTTATCCTTTCTCTTGTTGATATGGTATATCATGTTAATTGATTTGCAAACATGAAACTACCCTTACATCCCAGGAATAAGTTTTGGTTGATTGTTGTAAATGATTTTTTTTAATGTATTGTTGGATTGAGTTTGCTGATATTTTCTGGAGGATTTTTGAGTCTGTGTTCACCGGAGATATTGACCTGTATTTCTCTTTTTCAGTGGTGTCTTTATCTGGTTTTGGTATCAGGGTAATGTTGGTCTCATTGAATGAATTTGAAAGTTTTCCTTCCTCTTTTGCATTTTGGAAGAGTTTGAGAAGAATAGGTAGTAACTCTTCTTTAAATGTTTAGTAGAATTCACCTATAAAACCATCTGGTCCTGGACTTTTGTGTGTTGATTACTGATGTAATTTCATTGCTAGTAATTGGTGTGTTCAAACTTGTCTATTTCTTCCTGATTCAGTTTTGGGAGGCTATATGTTTCTAGGAATTTATCCATTTCATCTAGGTTGTCCCTTTTGTTGGCATATAATTTTTCAAGACTATGATAGTTTTTAAAGGGTATTATATGCATTTTAAAAATTATAAAAAATTACTAAGAAACTGACTCATGGAGCCATTACTTTTGTGATGTTACTCAAAACTTTGTAGAGCCTAGAAATAAACATAGTATGGTCTTCTAGAACAATTATGTAGTAGAGTACTACTCTACTTCCTTGGGAGGATTATAAGAACTGTGAGGAATTTTTATGTATTTCTCACTTGTGTATATATAACAAAAATGTTATACTTGCACTAGTTGTAAAGGAAAAATGTTAAATGGGGCTATATAAATCCAAGATTTTTATAGTTCTAGATCATAATTAACTATTAAGACAGATGATTTTTCTTCTTTTTAAAATTAGTTTCATTTATGAAATACCAAAGTCAATAAAAACATGAGATGTACTCTAACCTCACCACTTTAAACATAAAAAATGAAATCCTCCCATTTGATTACCTCATATCATTCCACAATGTGAAAATCTGGTACATGTCCTTCCCAACTTGTCCCCACAGTTAAATTGATGTATCTATCTATCTATCCATACTTACATATAAATACAAGAACATAAGTGTGAAACCAATGGAATCAAGCTATACATATTAACCTAAAGTTTACTTTTTTTCACAATTAAATAATTTTAGACCTATATGCATCCACATACACATGATTTGTAGGTTATTTTTTGTTTTTATTATTATAAAGAATTATACAAATGGCTATCCTTATATACTGGAAGCAGCATTGTTAGGTCAAAGAATAATGCATATTTTAAATTATTTTCTTAAAAGAAATATACTAATCTGATGGATGATCTGGTTTTATTTGTTTAGTTATACATTCATTTATCTAGGAGTATGAACTCCTTTTCATAATTTTGTGCTTCTTTTTCTGGAAACCAACTTTTCATGTTCTTAAGCTATTTTTCTTTTGAGTTATTAGCTTTTCTTGATCTTATTAATTTTCAGTAGTTCTTTGTATATTAATAATGTTCACTCTTTGTCAGTGACATGTGTTACAAATAATTTCTTCCAGGCTGTCATTTCACTGTGAAGTTTTCTTCCTCCCCATGAACCTAATCTGAAAGATAATGTTAAGGGGCGCCTGGGTGGCTCAATTGGTTAAGTGTCTGATTTCAACTCAGGTCATGATCTCAGGGTCCTGGACCAAGTCTTACATCATCAGGCTCCCCACTCAGCAGGAGTGGGAAAGGAGTCTGCTTGTCCCTCTCACTCTGTACCTCTCTTCACTTGTGTGCTTGCTCATTCTCTCTCTCTCTCTCTCTCTCTCTCTCTTTCTCTCTCAAATAAATGAATAAAAATCTTTTTTTAAAAAAGAAAGATAATGTTGAATTTGAAGACAATCATTGCAGTTTATACGTTAAAAATCTTTATTAACCTATAGAGAGAATTTGGAAGTATCTTAGACTTCCACTGGAAAAAAAATAATTTTGGCATTCAGTCATGTAACATAGAGCACCTGGCTGGCTCACTCACTTGGCATGTGACTCTTGATCTTTGAGCCCCACGTTGGACATAGAGATTACTTTACAAAATCTTTCTAATTAAAAATGGAGATTTTTGAAGCCAGATCTTGGAGAATATGTTTATATTTATGTTTAATATCTATAAATAATTTTTAACAGTAATAATTATATCAATCAGTTTCCAAAGTTTTTGCATGAGTTTGGTATTTTTCACTAACTTTTAATATATTTTTAAGCACTAGGCTTTGAAACCAAACAAACAGTGGCTCAAGTTTCA